TCTGCACACTTACATATATTGAATTCAAAACATTAATACACATGTTGCGTTTTGACCCGTTTATTTTAATTAAACCCTAATACATATAACTCATTATAACCAATAACCCAAGTCTTGAAGTCATCTACTTTTAAATATGGATTTTAAACTGACAATGTCATAAGTATTACTAATCATAAAGTTAAACACCACCATTTACTTAACCAACATCCTCTGCGGCTTGAGAGTAACAGTGAAAGGACACCCACATTAACATCTGTAAAAGGTAAAGAACAATATATAGCTGAGAATATTCCTAAAAATACGATATAATCTATTCGTTATAGCGCAACAAGCGAAAAAGATTGTTCTACTTAAGTTTGGATATTCTGGTTGATATTTGTATATTTGGTTTGACGACGTAAATAGCGGATAACCGATTTTCGCACAACTATAAGCTCAACTGGCGTAAAGCTAGTCCAAAAGTTCATTCAACCTATAACTAATTTAACTGTTAAGCAGACCCCCAAGAAGAAGATCACAGTTCTTGACAGACTATGATGAGTTCAGTTTCACCGAATGATTGTATTAATATAGTTAATCAGTTGGTTAATTGAATTCACACAAATAATTTCGGCGCTAATCATTTTGTTGAGATTTGTCATATGCAAAAGTAAGCAAGGTTTAACAAAACAAGAGATATTCATTGCATTTTCCATAGCTATACACCTGGCTTCTGAAAAACGAACAGTAGGCTAATGTCTGGTTCAATGTACTGTATTTAAAATGTTATGTAAGTAATGATTAATTTCACTTACGATGTCCCAAGCACTTTCCAACTCTCACCAAAGTCACTGACGTTATCAGCAATAGTACCATCAGGCTTCTGGAAGTCATCGTGGGTATCACCATTGTAATTACCCAATAAGCCACACAGCTTGCCACGATAATCGGAGCCAGAAATGTCAATGGTGAAGATGTGTTTTCGCAATGTCCAATCCACTTTGAATACAGTATTTCCCAATGTGAAACTCAAAATTATCTTTTCTTCAGTTTTTAAGGCTTGTATGATTTCCGATTTTGACAAACTATTCGTTTTTCCCTGTAAGATAATTTGTTGTAGGTTAGTTTGGTTGATAAATAGTAAATAATTAGTCATTGAAATAAAATAATATTGATATTTGTTACTCACTGTCACTATGTCTAGTCTGTCCACATTTGCATATTCATCACCAACAGTAATATTAATAGCAACAACTCTAGTTTTGATTTCACCACTGGTGTTATCGTCTCGAGGTTCAAATTTAGCAATGATTTTGAAATCTGGTTTGACATCGGAACAGTCCTTTACCAGCGTGTACCAACATACCCCCTGATGACTGTAATGACGACCATCCAACGTGGTAAAATGAGGATCACATTTAACAGCCCCACCATCTGTTGAATAGATAACATGTTTACAGTCCAAATTAGTATTTCAGCATAGTTAACACACATTCTTAAATGTAAATGAAATATGCATTAGGGAGATGTATTATATAAAACATAATAATAACTAATAATTCCGAGATAGTTTGGTCATAAGGCTTGATCAAGTTTGG